ATCCAGTGGCGCTACTGTCGGCGGTGCGCACGCGCAGAAGGCGCATATCTGGTTTCTACGGACATGTAGGGCTCATACCTTCGTGTGTAGACAAATTCCGACTCGTGCATATGCAGCGTGTGCCGGTCTGTAGTCTCGAACACTGCTTACCAAAATACGAAGCCATTTTTTTTCTTCGGGGGGGGGGGGGGGGGGGAATGCAGGAGTATCTACTGAACAGTGTTGATAATCATTAATAAACATGCGAGCTGGTTGAAGTTAGAGCAGCGTTTGAGACGTGTCGTTCTTCTGTTTCTTTTATTTCCATCGCCTCCGGTTTTAGCTATGTGGGGCTGATGCTGCCGTCGTTGCTACGAGGTCCCTTTATACTTGTACGCATTTTGTTGTCTTTGTAGAGTCGAGAACGCAATCGTGTCCTCGACCCACGTGTCCATGGGACCAGGGCTGCCGGCTAGTCAGCGACGGTCGGTCCTGTCCGCGGTGCAAGTGCGACCTGGGCTACTACAGGCGACCCGGTGAGTCGTAAGGGTCAGCTTCACTGTACCCGAACTAAAGTATACGAACTCTAAATTAGGAGTGTACAAATACCCGTTGGAGAGTAGAATAGCAATGCGTCATTCATAACCTTTACAGTGGAAAGGAATGTCACGATAACCGGTTTTCTACAACAGTGTTAGAGCTAGAGATGACACTTCGCTATTCGATTCTTACGATTCGAATCGATTCGAATACCGATTCGATTCCGAACCGGTATTCGCTAACCCCTTAAACCAGCTAGGATGCGATTTAAAGGGGGAACGACAGTAGAAAGATTTATAGTCTTATAAGTCACCGAGAGTGGGAGTAGCTTATTATGTTATCGCTTCGTGATTGGTTCTTCGGCGTTCTCATCGGCGAATGGCGCGCTTTCATTGGCTGCGGAGACGTAATGAGATGCACGGGGCTCACCACGTGTAGCACACCGTTTTCGCTCTCTATTTAATAGAGAGTTTTAGGAAACCGCTTTTACACATCCGATACGGCACGAGGGCCCTCCGGTACGAACTGCGCATGTGCGAGTCTTCTGCTGTAGCGCATGCGCAGTTTGTGCCGGAGGGCCGATCGTACCGCATCCGATGCGCAAACAACGGTTCCCTAAAACTCTCTAATAGAGAGTTTTAGCAGATCGTTTTTTAGCCCCGATAACGATACCTCCTCTTCCCTCCGGCGGCCTTGAGCATGCATCGTATCGTTATCGGGTGTCGTTATCGGGGCGAAAAAACGATCTGCTAAAACTCTCTAATAACGATACGCGATAAGGATACAACGCCACGCGCGAAGGCGCCGGTGGTGTATCCGGTATTTTTTATCGGAGTGCAAGAACTATCTACTAAATCCTCCTTATGGTTCTTTCTGTAGTGCTTGCGCCCGCCAAGGGCAGAACAAGCAAACTGAAATTTTAGATTTGTAAAAAGAAAAAAAAAAGAAACAGACAACATCTTTGGTTTCATTTTAAACGCATGGGTTTGCGCACAACCCGTCCACTGAGATGGGGTACAGAGAGAGCAAAAGGGCGGTTGGCAAAAATTGAAGTATAAACCCCCGTGAACGTAAACTCTGCGGGTAAGGCATTCCTGAGTAGCCATGAAGTAATGGTTAAAAGCTAAGCAGATTAATTTCGTACTCTTCGAATTAGCGAGGTTGTACGGTGCATCCGGCTGAGCGAGTGTCGAAGTAACGTTTCAGCGTATATATGCTTTTTAATGAGCTAAATACGAGGTACCAAAGTTTTCGTTATAGATAACAACCCCTGGGTTACTTTTTATAAAATTTTTAGTCGTTTTTGCTTAATGTGCTTTATAACCTATATATTTTTTATCTATACTTTATGGCGCGCTTTGTGTCTGGAAATAATTTAAGTGGATGTCGCTTTCGTTCTTGCAGCACACATGGACGAGTTCGTTTGCCCACCAATCAAGAGCTGTCCGAAGGAGTACGGCTGCGAGATCAGACAGAGGATCGGAAAGTGCCCATTCTGCAAGTGCTGTAAGTACAGAACGAGCCCTCAATGCAGCAAATTAGCCGCACGCATTAGCGTTTGGTGTTGCTTAGGGATATTCCTGCCTGAGTTCCTAAAATAAACTCCACTACTATATAAAAAAAAAAAAAAGAAAAAAGAAAGAAAAGAAACGGGGGTTTGTTGAGTTTGGAGTGTTACTGCATTTTAAGCTTCATGATAGATCAGGTACTTAAAAATCTGATCAAACCACAGTAATAATATTAATAATAAAAAAAACTCTTGCAACAGTGATCGAATTGTTTCCATTTTTATTCGACGAAGGTTGCGTCTTCCTACGGCTCCCGTGTGGGCGGTGGCCATGCACGTAACGCATTACTAGTAGCGAGTTACTTCCACGCAGTTACTTTTCGATAACGGGTAACGTACTTAAACACTTTTAAGGCCAAGTAGCGACTAACGGTATTTCGTTACCTTCGAGGTGTAACGTGTACAACAACGTTTAAACAGCCTCGTTTTAATTATAACCTGAGTATCCGTCTATTGCGACAAAGGAAGATGGGCAACCAGAAAAATAGCTAAACAATATAACGGTAGAGCAACGTTTATTGCTGTTCGCGTGAGTTGAACTCTACAGCTGGGGATGTCCTTCACCCAGAGAACACAAGAAGGTTCGCTGGTTGAACATTGTAGAATCGTGTACAGACCGAAGGCAAACCCGGAGGTTGCCAACGCAGGAAGGCACAGGACCCATTGTCAACTGCGGACTTTAGAAAATGAGAGAACAAAAGAGAAAGGGGAATCCCATATTCTCCAGCTCTTTCTGAAGAACAGCGCTGCCGTTCCTTCGAGCAAGTCAGTTTAACGACTCTTCAGCGCCGACGGAGATGTATCCGCAAGGAAGCGGGGAAACATAACTGGTGAAAATTTCGAGAGGCAGCTACTGCTTAAATGCAACGACTACTGAAAAGAAGGCATTAAACTATGAAACAAAAGCAGTTAAGTCTTTGGTCGTCAAAGTAATGAGAGAAGGAATTCGCTACTTTAAAGGTAAATTAATGCGTTCCTTTTGAGAATCAATGAGGAGTAACGTATTTAGTTACTTTTTAAGTGAGTAGCGAGTAACGACATTTAGTTACTTTTTTTGGGTAACCTGTACATGTCTGGCGCTGTCACCTTTCCTTTCTAAAAAAAACAAAACAAAGTAAAAGGAAGTTGTGGCTGCGTTAACCAGTTTTAAAAGGTCTCGTTCGTAGAGCTACGCGAGGGAACGGTGGCAGCCAGCCAAGCTTGTAGAGGTAATCTGACTGACTAAAAAGCAGACTTGTGCGATTCAGATTTTGTACATAAAAAGTTATCTGGTGGTGGGGAGTCTTTTAAATCACCCGGAAAACAAAACAAAAAAAAAAATTCTCGCGTGATTACGTTGAGCCAATGAAACGGCTAGCAGCAGAAGAAATCAAGTACTGTACACTGGGTATCTTTTCAAGGGTCCCTACTAAGGTAGTTGGGTCTGCCACAGAGGTCACCTTCGACTTTCATTCGATGGAGAGTTCACGGATTAGAGTTTCTCGGGTCGAGTATTTTATGACCATGCCATGTTTGGCAGTGTACAATGGAATAGTTAGGTCTGACCGCGTAGATTAGTTTCTGTTTGAAACCAAAGTTTGATAAATTATTTGAAGGGCTGTTGAAAATGTCGGTTATACCACTAGAGCCTGCTGATTAACTTTTGCGTGCCTTTTTTTTGTGCAGATTTCAAGAAGCACAGACGGAATGTACCCTTCTAACTAAGAAGAAGAATTCCGGCGACTACAGGACTCACTCGTTCAACTTCTCATTTGACTTTGGGAGGTTTTTAAGTTATTACTTTACGCGTTTCGAAGTACGCGAGATGAATATACACAAGGTTCTGCTTGTGCGCTTTGAGTCAGCTGGATGTGATAGGCAGGGTATCTGAAGTTGAGAACGGAGGGGTCCTGGTATTCATGCCAACTCCCAGAGCGAGAGACACCTGCTTCTGTGGTGTAAAACACGGTGTAGCAAGACGTATCCTCTAAACCTTATGTGGTTTTTATTGCCTGAATTCCAATGCTTAAATAAAGTGCGATTAATTGCGTCACAAAAACGCCGACACCTATACCCTACAGTTCGTGCACTCTCTAGAATCCTTAGTCTGCCAACTTTCACTATTGTTTGAACCAGGTTTTACTCTAATTATTCAATGAATTATGTCCCACTGTGAGAGCGTGAGTGTACTCATACATTAAAACATTCTACGTTGGTTTCAAGCATAGGGAAGTCGAATGTACTTTAATGATCATTTTAGCAGTAAGTGTACATAAGTACTGAAAGTTCAAGTCATTTAATTACTCAAATAATGTTTTTAGCAGGCACTTTGACATATAGTTTCTTGAAGAAACATGCCTTGGATATGTTTTATAAAGCATGGAACTTTTTTTTTCATCTTTCAATTGAAGTGTTAAGGATTAGGGAGGAGTCTGCTGCAAAATATGGAAAGACATGAACTCATGAATTCATCTCTCAAGAATTTAAAACTACTTCAATTACGATGATATGTACAATTCTGTGTTCCACAAAACAATTTTGGGAATAAACGACTTATCGTAATAAAAACAAAATTCTCAAAGATTTTATTGCATGTGTAGTCATCTGATTGGCAGCTCAGCGGCAGAAGAAACACGAATAAAATGACTGTGCGTGCGTCTTTTTTTCTGTAAAGTAACCACAAACCACAGCCAACATGAACTAAATACAACATCCATAACGTTTAGCAGTTTTTAGATAATAGGCAAAATTATCTCGACAAAACACACAGAAACAGCTATAACAAACAGCGAAGTAAAATACATTAGTACACATGTACATGCGTTTATAGACTTAGATTTGCGTACATTATGGGGACAAAAAGCTTTTTATACTTTTTATTCTACCCTTTTGTGGTCCAGGGGGCAAATCATAAAAACAACATAGTAAGCTCAGAACAGGATAACCGTGTCACAGCCTGTACATCTGGGGCATTGCCATCTCGTTATTACGAGAAATTCAATAATTCAATCAATGCACGAGTTCGCTTTGCTAAGTATATAGGACGATCTGCAAAACATGAACAAACCCCTAAAATATCAATGAATTTGAACCACTCTTGGTTAAATTGACTCAATTACTAGTATTGTGATCACTTGCTCCAAAAGCACATAGCAACCCGAGTTTGAAGTACAGAAGAGCACGGGGTGACGCGTGCGCCTTGGGCATGCTCTCTTTACAGTTACGCTAAGTTACAGAGTTGCAAAATTGTTGGAAATGCAGTTGTAATAATACAAAACAAAAGAATCGAAGAACTTCTTAGTAAACAGCAATTGCAAAGATATATAATTGAATCAGGACCTACTTAGAAAACTTTAATTGAATTACCGCAATTTAATCAATTTCCAAGTATGAGTACAGTGCTAACGGTCGCGATGGTTCCAACAAAAGACGAGGCCTAACGGCTACCGTTGGGTTTTTTGCCCAACACGTAGACCTGCTTGCCGCGTCTGCAGTCGCAGTAGGGGCAGGCCCCCGCTCTGAGGACCCTGCGGCAGCGAAGGCCGCAGTAAATCGACGGGCAGGCCGTCGGGCAGCGGCAGCGGAGGCAGCCATTTTCGTCGGCCACCATGCGACAGTCGCTCAGCTGACTGTAGCCGTCGCCGCTCTTCACCTGCTTGGCGTAATCGTCGTCTTCATCGTTGATCTTGCAGCCACCTGCCCGAAAACGTACATCGAATTACTACAAAAACGCGGCACTTGGACGAAATCGTCATAGTCCGTTTGGCATTCAGTCCCACCGCAGTAAACGCTATACGGAGCGCATGTTCGTCTGCTTCTTTTGAAGGGGTTGTTGCTTGAGTGTGCCAACTATCCTTCTAATCAGAACGCCGTGTTCTGATCGGAAGGCTAGTGGGTAGACCTCTAGGCAGCTTGTTTTGAGGACTACCCACTATTTTTCCAATCAGAGCCAATCAGAGCTCGGCGTTCTGACGTCACCACAGCCCCGGCAAAAGAAGCAGACGAACTTGTGCTCAGCATAATCAGATGAAGCCAACCAAGCAGCGACAAAAGTGCATCGTCATGGACCTCGTCGTCTTTGTACGTTTGCTATTAATCGGCCATACCAACAACGCGCATTGAATGCGCTGTGTGATCTTCCGCTTTTTTTAAAGCGCAGCTCTTAGGCGCCCGTTTCCGGCTTGAGTGGCGTCGCCGTCGGCGTAACCGTAAGGTCACGTGACCTGGGGGAGGAGGGGTATACCCTCCCCTCAGTACCCTTCCCTGCTCCTCCTCAAGAGCTGCGCTCCAGTTCGGCGTTACTGGGTGTTGTAAACGGCTTTCGTTTTTTTTCCTGCGTGTGACTGGCTTTATTGGCGATAGAAAGAGCGTGATTGGAGGCACCATCGGATCGTGTACCGTTGGCTGCTGTTGCGGAAAGCTGACTCTACGGGGAAATTACCCTGTAGTTGGTTGCGCATCTCGCAGAGGAACGGCCGCCAAGTTAAGCACGTGTAAATAAAGCAAACGAAATCTCCACAATGGAAGAACAAAAATAAGAATAATTATTCGCTTCCGTCATCGACGGCTCCTAGAGTTGCAGTGACGTAAAATATTAGGCCGAGACTAGCGCTAACCGAATAATGTGAATAATTTGTTGCTCTATATCGCTTAACGGCCCCTATGGTTATGGGTCAACGGAACCTGTGAGCCATGGGCATGCTTGCGGCTATTGACACGCATCTGTCTCGTGTTTGATCATGCCGGCACGCCCAGCGGTGGATGCGGAAGGAAGCACAGAAACGACCCCAACCAGCGTGTCACGTTCGTACGAACCTTGTAGAAAGAATCAGAGATATTCGACAAACTCAAAGCGTAAAGGTAAGTCTTTCACAATACGACAGGAAACTTCAGTTTTGTTCCACTCTATTGTTCGCATTAACAAAAAAAAACAAAAAAACAAAAAAAAAGTCAATGAGAGAAAGTTGAAGAAATAAGTATATAAAGTACAATAAAGAATCAAGTTATCAATCTGAATCGAGAGGTGTAGGGGTCATACGCTATGCGTTTGACGGGAGCAAGGTGTCTGTTTTACAAGACCAGTTCCACGGAGGAAATCGAAAGTGCGCCTCATGGCCATGAGCTTTCCTCAAGGCAAGATTCAAGGCGTACAAAACGCTCAGTGCACTGCGTGTCATATCTCCAGAATACGAATAGATTTTTTAACAGTTAGATTGAATCACTGAGATTGTTAAACTTTTCAGACTTAGAAATTATCCTCTCCCCTGCTGTGAGTGTGCGACCTCATGATAGCGAGGCTATAAGATTTTTAATATTTGTTAAATAGCGAGTTAATTGGCTCGAAGCTTTGAGAGGGTTAGTATTTGAATAGAAATAGCAAATAACAATTATAGAGATCCTTCCCTGGATAAATCTCGTTTCTATGTGAATCGAGCGGGAGATGACTTGCATATGTACCGGCAAAATTGGACGTCAGTCATCCACGTTACGAAAAAGGATATACGTCATGCGCCAAACTAAGCATCAACCAATCAACGAGACTAGAATGCGGTAAATATTATTTAGGCACTGATTTTTAGAACCTCTCAGCGGCCACTTTGTCATCTCGAAATTTTTCTTTAAGCACTGGGACTGGACCTACAATTCCTGGTTCAAAGCCGGTGTGACGAGAGGAATAGCTTGGGCTGCGAAATCCAAAAGTGGTGTACTTTGTCTTTATTTTTATGGAACTGGAGGGCGTTGGGGGTCATGTGAAGTCTTCAATTAGCGCGCGTAGATATAAAAGTGGAAGAAAAATATGACAAAGTAACCAAAAGTGTTTGTTTCACTTACTTGGAGCCGCGGCTGCAGAGCAGGTCAGAAGCACAATGACGACGAGCGACGCGGCCACACACCACTTATACTTATTCATAACTGTCATATGGATATCAAATTAACACTGCAGATAAAAGCCACGTCGGTTTCTTGATATATCCGACTTTTAAGAGTCTTGCAGTCCTTTCACACAATACTGGAGTCGATCGTTGCTTTGCAGAGTGCCAGTGGCTTCTGTTGTCTTGCCTACGATGCGTTGCGTTTCAGACGAATCCCACAGATTGTAGTTGGCTGACGGTGCCTCTTGAAATCAGTATCAATAGTAATGTAAGACGATTCACGCCACTACCTTGACAAAAGGTGGCTGTTGAACTCAAATGTTCCTTCAGACACTCCTCCTGCCACTTCCAACAACCAGTCAGGAAAACCGAAACCAGACCCACGGAACAAGAAGAGCCGTAATCCGCCTTCGTCGTCTTGCACGATGTGTAGAATCGCGAATCTTGGAAAAAAAGTTCGGGATACGGTAGTCGTATTCTTTCCTTCCTATTTATTGTCCTAGGCAAGGGCCCTCCAGTTAATCTTGGCGACCCGAGCCGCTGAGTGGGGCCAGGGGCCAAGGCCATCGAGCGTTGCCGCACCCGGCAGCTATACCCCTTTTTATACGATCCCTGCAGCGCAGTCGAAGCTACGAGCCTGTTTTCTCCTTCCTGACCTACGCCGTAAAAACATAATCCCAGATTCCACGGTCAACCAAGTTTCAAATACTTAACAATACCAGTGACTTATACCTCTGTCAAGATCCCCAACCCTTTTCTAAGACGTAAGCTATCCTAGTATATTTTATGGGTATTAAATGACTCACTGGTTATCTTACCGTCTACCACTGGCACGCTGTGGACGGCAGACGACTCGTCGCCTTGAGTGCTGCAGGTGCCGGACTACATTCAGACGGAAGGATACTCGTGCAGGTTCTCTAGCATTCACTGCGCTGCGCGTCATCCTCGAAACAGAACGCAGCTTGCCAGCGAGACCGTACGTGCGGATGCGTGGAAAGGCGACGTTACTTGAATTACTGAGCAGATCCCGGCGGGTTTGTTTTCAAGGAAAGATTTCGTCAGTCTCTTTTCTTCGCCGTCTGCTTGGAGCTTCTTGCATGTTGAATGCCGAGACGGCAGTGGCGTCACTGGTTTCTTGTTTACGCCATACATCACGTGTAATCAATCAGGTGTGCGAAGAGAACGAGGAATGTTTTCCGGCGTAGAGGCTTGCCTGACGAGGCCATAGTTTCAAAAGGAACATAAGAACACTTTGGCTCTTAAATAAAATAGAAACCAACATGCAAAGTTATAGTCATGCTCCAATTTAAGTGCTCCAGTTGCAAAGTGATATTGGCGCGCGACGATCCCATCCGCCGTCCATGAAGTACAGATACCTGAATATCTCTTTTACGGAGTTCTTGAAACGGTTTGCTAGGACCACGCAGTCGAAACAGAGCTTTCACATATATCGTATAGTATGCGTATAATCAGTCGTATGCAGAACTGCTTGTAATGTGGCGTGGCCCTGCTCATATTTTGAATATTCAATTTCACATCCAAGCCAGACAAGAGTTTGTCAGAGGCTGAAGCAATGTGCTAAAAGAAGATTATCTGAATCTCAAAACTTGAGGCTCTCAGGACAATGTTTATTGATTTTAGAAGACTTTCCGCGTCTCTTACCAGGAGAAAGTAATTTTGAAATTTTTGTTCACAAGCCCCGAGCATAAGGCCTTCATTTACAAAATCAGCAAGTGTTCTTGGAGTATTGTATTACGATTTTTAAGTTACATGCGAATTGTGACGAGTCAACTGCTGTATGCCCGTAGGTGTGTTTCTAAATCTTTTTATGTGTGTCTGTGTGTGTGTGTGACTGGAAAATAATTTAAATTAAGTGATAATTGCAGCTTGGCGAAACAAAAACTGAAATACGCATATTGACTGGTGCGGAATGTGGTGTGTATGGTAAGGAGTTTATCTGCGTTCGTTAGTTGGTAACAGTGAAATCGGGTTACAAACTTCACGAGTTTCTGGGATAAAATCTGATATTACAACAACGTATCACTATATACGAAGTTTTTTGTAATAAACCCACATTCGTACGTTAATAATAGCACTATGACCAAAGTGTTACTGCGACGCGACCGTGTAGACAGGCGGGTTCTACTATGCATACGTTAAACAAATTACAGAATAATTATTCCTTGTGCGTAAATGGAAAATGCTTACAAGTGCCGATTTAAAAAGAAAGGTCAAATTAAAATATCTGCGCTAATATAAGTGTGCTAAAGGCGGAAATGAATGTTATAAGTATCTTTAAAGAACTAACCCAGAGGATAATTTTCGAAACCGTTTCGCCTTGCAACAGCAATGCACTTAAAAGGGGGTAGATGTTTGATCTTGCATATTTTTATTGTATTACTAGATGCGATCAAATTTAGCGCACACGGTGTGCAGGATGGATATTTATTTTTAAACTGTATAGCTTTGTATAGCCTACCACAGCGGACCAGGCACGTTAAAATTCAAGCGAAGGGTTATTGCTTGTTTTTTTAGGCGAACTGTTTTTCTTGTCAGCTCAATTCTCAGGACTCCGAATTTGCATTTCTGAAAAAGAAATAGACAAAGTAGCGACATAAAGGTGTCATGTTCATACCATGTAATGTATGCGCTAACAAATTCAAGCTGTAGGGAGTTCTCGGGTTAATATTTACTGAAAATACGGTTTAGCAGACATTTCTATTAATTTATGGGCGTTGAGATTGTGAAAACCGGTAATGCTACCCACGCTTGCTTTGAGCAGTTTTTATACAACCCATATAACACCGGCTATTAAAAACAGCTTGTGCTAATATGTCTTTTTGAGGACACGTAAAATCATCTTGAAAGGTAAAAAAAAAGAAAGAAAAAAGCTGTGTTAAGCTTAGGGACGTAGATTTTTGGGGACATCTGTAAGTAAAACTAAATTCAAATAGTCAGTGAATGAGGGTGCTTCTACGAAATTTGACCTACTCACGATGAATTCCTTAAAAATATGTATATATTAATTCGTAAGGCCGGCGACGTTTTGAAAGTAAAAGTAAGGAACGCGTGGGTATGGTGATATATTCTACGTGAACCATTTTGGGATAAACCACAAAATTCTCAGAAAGCAAGTAATCATTAAGTCTGGGTGCGTTTTGTGTGTCTACACAAACCCAGAAGCGAACAAGATCAGTAATCCGGATGGCAACTTTGAACGAAATAATTGACGGAATAAAAAAAGCGAATTCTTTTAAAATTTAAGCGCTAAAAAGGAATAAAAACACAACCTACCAAACAGAACGGACAAGTCATTTATTAAAACACAAGGTTTCTTGAGATGAACGCACATATGACAGTTGCTGTGTTGGTCAAAGTGATACACGTTTTGTAGTTGCTATGATATAGTGTCAAGCTGCTGTGAACTTCGGATTCAAACAAACCTAAATATTCAAATCTTGGTTTCGCATTGTTTCTCACTTTCATCATATTCTTATTAACAAAATGATTAAAGGAGCGATGCAACAATTTTTGTAATTTTCGCAAATACCGCTTAAAACGGATCCCTAACGTTAATGACCTATGAAACACGCGTTCGTTTTTCACCCCACGCAATAGAAGTCCCAGAAAAAAAATTAAAGAAAAACGAGCAGCGTTCACCCCCTCAACTCGCAGCCAGAACGAGCGGCCACGCGATCTGGAGCCGATTATATGCCGCCAGTGTTGATCATAGCCACGCGCTGGGGTTGGCAAAGCACAGGACACGCGCTGAGTTCCAGACATTGTTATAGCTCGGCTGTTGTCGTCGTTGCAGCGATTGGACACGGGTCACTACCCGAATGCTTCTCGAGCTAGCAATTATCACGAGCCCAAGTCGAGTGCCCACGCGATGCTCGGGTCCAATCTATGAACCGCATCCAGATATCGTCACTTGGGTGTACTGCGATCCCCACGTTACGTCATCAAATTTTGCAAAGGAGAGATTGAATGAAAATGATCGCTTTTGTCCTTGAAATTACACCGCAACAAAGGAGTTTCTTGGCCAGTGGCGTTGCGTGCGAGTATCCTTGAGTCCCACTAGTGCCAGTAAGCTCGTGTCAAGTGAAAAACATTCCAATTGAATATCGTTGCACGGCTCCTTTAAAGACGTCCCACGAAGGAATCAGTACTTAGGCTCACGCAGTCTGAGTTGTGACATTAAGCAATACAAGCGTGACGTTTTGCATTGCTTAATGTCACAACTCAGACTGCGTTTTTTGGTCTAAACATATGTTTCGGCATCGTCATTCGCTGATCTGCCTCCGTGAGTTGCAGTGATTGGCTCTCCGAGTGTTGTACGGGAAAGCAGAGGCACGAGCGTTTTTTAGAGTGCACACACACACAGACACACACACACACACACACATATACAGGGTGTTTTTTTTATTCTTACACATTTGTTTAAAAAAAAGCCGTGAAAGCTACACTAATGCGGTTTGTGCAGGTGGGTTATACGGCCAGGCGGACATTATGTGAGTGGCTAATCTTTGCGATAAGTTGGCTAATTAATTAAAATTCGTTAATTAACTTTTTAATTAATGGAAATAGACATATGGTTCCAATTAGAAACTTGTAGAGCATCATCGGAAACCACTAAATCAACTATTTTTGGAAGGATATAACCGCCGGGGCAGCATTTTACAGCGTTCTGTAGAAACGCTTCATTTGGACGCGTTTCTAGATTTCGGTTTCTTATCGGAGCGCATCACCGCGCCCGCGGTCCTGCTCCCCAGTGGCTGAGTCGCGCAACACACGTGCGCCCTACTTCCTTCCATTCTACGAAGGAGGCGAGGAGGCGGCTTCGCGCCGCGAGCACCGGGGAGCAGGATCGCGGGCGCGTAGATGCGCTCCGATAAGAAACCGAAATCTAGAAACGCGTCCAAATGGAGCGTTTCTACAGAACGCCGTAAAACGCTGCCCCGACGTTATATCCTGCAAAAATTAGTTGATTTAGGTTTTTTTTGGTGGTACTCAGCAAGTTTCTAATTGAAACCATATGTTTATTTTCAGTAATTAAAAAGTTAATTGACGAATTTTAATTAATTAGCCGACTTATCGTAAAGATTAGCCACCCACATATTGTCTGCCTGGCCGTATAACCAACTTGCACAAACCGCATTAGTGTAGCTTTCACGGTTTTTTTAAACAAATGTGTAAGAATTAAAAAAAACACCCTATATATATATATATATATATATATATATATATATATATATATATATATATATATATATATATTTACGGAAGAACACGCACCCAAGACGTTTGTTGAACTTTTTAAAACATATTATTGGTAAAGTTGGTCGACGTTTCGGCCTGAGCCAGGCCTGGCTCAGGCCGAAACATGTTACCAATAGACGGTCATCGTCCAACACGGCAAAGCAGCTGCGGTAAAAAGGAAAGAACACGAAACATAGTTTTTAGTGACTCAAAATTAGAATAATCTTTTTTTCGGTGAGAAGTTGGTTTTGACCCATACATCAAATAGCATTCCTACACCCAACGACTCAATGGGGAACACTAAGACACTGTGAGGATTGAATTTA